CAAAAGTATGAAGAGAGATGTGGGGTACCAAAATGTATCTTTAAAAGCAGCCTGGGACTGAATAATTAAGTCCATTTGTATCTGTATAGTCTGGATTCCAAACAATCTGTACAATATGATTTTACAATTTCTTAAAACCAATGCAGTCCTCAGAAATTTAAGTCATAATTTTTATATGACCATATTAGCTGACGCTAATCAGTTGTCATAACTACTTTAGCTCAATACCAATATACTGAAAAAAAACATTGGGGTTCTTGGTGTCCCAACTCCCATGAGGTACAGGAAATTTGTGTGCTGTTGGTTAAAGCTACTAGTGAAATGTTTTACATTTCATCTAACTGCATCAAAATTAATTCTTGTGATGAATTTTTTTCTGAATCTGCTACTCAGTTTATTACAGATATTAAACCAATATGGCAGTATTAATAACCCTGCTCAAGCTTTTCCTCGGGATCTAAGTGTGGCTTTTAATAATGACTTTTGCTATGTGTTTTAATCTAGGTAAAATTAATTCAATTTAGAAATAACTCCTTGAAGACACGGCGAGCTCAAATACCCATTACAGTCGCATGAAAATTGTCTTCAATGCTTATGACAGCACCACCCATGGGTAAAATCAGAGAAATGTGCATTTGACACAACAAGGTTGAATTCCTAGATTACTCTACTATTCTGTCATTTGATGCCTGCAAACAATAAGGGAGATGACCTTGAGACAAATATGCAAGACTATTATATAAACAGAAACAGCTGATGCATTCTTTAAACTCTGGGAAGCAAAGTATTATCTGGAAGATGTTCAGGCAGGGATCTCTCTGGTTCACTAAGAAGGAAGGGAGACAAAGCACAATCAGGCTTGCAAGATTCTGTTACTTTAGCCAATCTCAATCTAATTCTGATTTTCTTGTAGAACTGATTTTCTGGTCTAGTTTACCTAGTGTACCTACTCTAGAAAGTTGAGGAGATGGCTCTGATGGAAATATGAAATAACTGTTTCCTATATACAAGGGGTGCTGAAACATCTTTTAAGATCTAACAAATGAGAGCGCTCAGAAGTAGGTCAGATGTTAAAGTGTGTGTGTGAGAGAGAGAGGAGGGGAGGGAGGGAGAGATGGTACAGCACATTCAGACTTGCACTATTCCGCTACTATGGACAATTTCAATAAAAGTAGTTCTAGTCAACCATGTCAGCTGACATTTACCTGCATCCTGCATTCTAGTGGGCTGACATCTACCTACCTATTCTACCTACTTAGCCTGATCCACCTTCTTTATCTATCCAAATAAATATTTTCTGTGCTAATAATTCTAGATGCAAATCACCATCTCCTTTCTTTCTCTTCATGTTTACCACTCCATGTGCAAATACACTCACAAAATTTGCCTGTCTATCACACCTTATACTAGCAGTTTAAAGTGCAAATGCATGTATCATGCTTGCTTATCCCTTGCTTTCCTTGCCAGTGACTCTGTATACAAGCATATAGGATGCACCAATTTCTCCTTAACAGTTATGTAGTGAAAAGTGATAATCAAGACAGTAGATAAAGTGCTTCAAAAGAGAATTTGAACAAAGATACAAAACTAAGGTGCATACATGCATTTGCATGTGCACAGTAATATATTTAGGTACTCCTCAACTTACAACCACAATTAGGACCAGAATCTCAGTTGTTGAGTGCAGTGGTACTTAAATTGGATACTATGTGACTGCTTTGTTCAATGACCACAATCTTGGCACTTCCAGTTGCAGTAATTAAACAATTTCCTGGTCATTAAGTGGCCAGAGCAAAAGAGCTGCCTGCTAAAGCATTTCAGCTCTGCGCAGAGCTGAAATCCTCCTGACAGGCAGTTCCTTGAGAGTGAAAGGGCTGCTTGCCAGAGGGTTTCACTTCTGTGTGGAGCTGAAATCCTCCTGGCAGGAAGCCCTTTCAAACTCAAATGTTTCAACTCTATTCCTGCAGCCCCACAAGGATTTTCCTCTCTTCTCCATCCCCTCCACTTGCAACCTTCCCCATGACCTTCCCAACTGGCTTTCAGCAGAAACTGGCAAAGAAGATTGCAAATGGCAATTACATGATTGTACAGTGCTTGGCAACCTGTCACGAATACTAGCCAGTTGTCAAATTCCCAAAATATGGTCATTTGACTGTGGAGGGAGGATACAATGGATGTTTTGCAATGAATGTGCTTGATGGGCAGAAAAGCATCTTTCTGAGGTCCTTGTAACTTTGGTCATTAAATGATATTCCTATCTGCAATGACAAAATCAACAACACAACTGCAGAAACAAGTCTATTTTCAGTTTGCAAATTATTCATCTATTGTCAGCATTAAATGGACTTTTCTGATATTTAAGAGACGGTTGGCTTATCTGGTTTATAAATAATATTTAATGAACAAAAGAATTTGCCCAAGAATCAACTGGGGATTCTTCACTGGACCAGAAATTTACAATAGCAGAAACAGGCAAATTATGAAATGTCTCTAATGCTTTTCTTTGTCAGAAACAGACTGTTGTGCAGTGTCACTATGAGCAGCTCACAAGCATGAAATGTACATAGTGGTGAAATAATGTGGGAGAAGTTGAGGGGGGCGGGAAGCAAGATCTAAAAATCTTGCCTACACATTGCATGTCAAAGTGTAGTATGTCCACCTGGCCACCTAGAAGTTCGAAAACCTGCAAATGCTATTAAGATAAAGAGGTATCACTAAGACTGGCATATTAACAAGGACTTGAAAGGAGCCCCCAAGTGGTCATCCCCAGGCAATGGTGATGTCACCAGCTAATCCTTTCAACCCGAAGTGTCTCAGTGCTTCCAACACAAATGCGATGCGAGTGTAGATTTTTAAAGCACTCTTATGAAATATTTTTTACAACCCTCCTTTATCCAAACCTAGTACAACAAATGTAATTCCAGATCAAAATTCCAAACAATGTATCATATATAAATATGATACTTGATATACACAATACTTCAACAAGCATTGGAAATGTGCTCTCAGAATGCTTAATTTGTTAATTGTCCTAGTTCTGCCTAGACAGATGTATGCATATCTTGTTAATTAGAGAAATTAAATTTAGTCCTGGACTTATTTAAGAGTACATATTTCCTACTGATTACAGAGAGGATTATGCATGGACTCATGATCATTCAGTAATCTGTACATCTTTGTATCTCCTCTGAAGTTAAATCAATTGAAATCTGTTGAATGCCAAGTAGCTCCGTCCCCCACTATAAAGAAATGAATTCTGTGGTTTGTTTTGCCTCTGAGTACAATACATAAGCAGTAATGCATCATCTGATCTATTATTTAATTCACTTAATTGGATTCAGATTCTGCAGAGCTTTAATATCTTAATACATTTGAAAGCGCTGCATTTTACTAATTTCCAAAGCATCACTGGGATATGCAATCTTGGCCAAAACATCAGCAAATTTGGAACAGCATTTTGATTTTCAAAGCAGCTGGGCAAAAAGAAATTAGTTAACATTTCACCTTGCTCTTTGCCAGATAGTTTTAAAAAAGATGTTTCTTCTTGATGTTCCCCATGCTATAGTTTAGCAGACGAAGATACAGAAAAGGGAACAATACATGATAGAAATGTATTTTTTGGTAACTTGTCAATAAATTCCCCCCTCCCGCCTTCAATGTATAAGGCAAGCTACATCATACCTAAGAACGATAGCTTCCACTGACAATTCACTTAATATTGCAGTAATTGCTTAATGGAATGGTCAGTACATTTATTTCATATTTCATTGAGTTACATTAGCAAGATCAAATGTACTACTGTTCCAGCTACTAGTATTATTATTAATGTGTCTCCTTAACACATTTTCTTTTCTACCCATTTCTCAATATTAGTACCGATTAGCAGATCTATAAAATCAAAGCACAAAAAGAAGGGCCTTCCAACAATGCAGTAAAATTGTCAAGAAATTCCCCCTTAAATTTTCTTTTTAATAATTTTGAACCATAGGCAATCATCACTTAAGTTTTGACAAACATTTCAAAAACATCCAGTGTATTTTTTAAAAATTTATTTTAAACTGCTGCTAGGTTGTTATGTTTGCTGCTCCATCATGATCTTGTAAAGGCAAGCTACATCATACCTAAGAACTCGGCAAAAGAAATAAAAAGTTCTAACAGAGCTATTCTGCTACGCTACCCTGTATCACTGATTCTGATACGTATTATGAAAGTTCCATTAAAACACTAAAAAAATCAATACATCATATAACCATTCTATTTTTCTAACAGGAGGGCATCATGATCTGGACAAAACCCCTGTAGCTTGAAACTCATTATTTGTAATAGGAACACAATGTTTGGCAACTATGAGACCCCGCTTAAGGTTATTTAATTATTCAATTTATTTTAACTTCTCCTGGAAGTCAAGGGGACTGCATGGGAGCATCTCCCATATAGAAACAGAGACAAGGGGCTGGGATAAATTAAGGAGGCATTGGGGTCAGAAAAATAGAAAACGGGTAAGCCTAGTTGTTTATTATTTTCTATAGATACAATATGATTTTCATTTAAAAAAAAATTAAATCTGAAATGCATAGAAAATATTAGGATAAATCCATCATTACATTAGCAGACCTAATTTCTCCATTCTATTGTGGAAGAAATCTGGGAGTTGAAGCCCATTATTCTTAAAGTTGCTAAGGTTGGATACCCTTGTTCTAGATTGTCAGATTCTCAAAATATATAACTGGCATCTAATTATGTTTCTGTTAAGAAGTTCAAATCACATTTGTGCAATTCCTTATGCAACCTCAAGATGCACAGAATTAGAAAACCTGACAAACATACTTTAGGAAGAGATTTCCATGGTAATGAATCTTATGTTCAGAACAAAAATTTATAGTTAGAGGAAGTATGTTTATTATTCTACATGTAAATGAGGAATAAGCATCAGAGTTCCTATCAATGGCAATTACTTCATAGATGATATAATTTTCCAAAAGATTTTATTACCCACTTACCACAGACAGAGCCTCTCACAAATCTCCTTAAATGTGGATTTCCAGGGAGGTAGCGGTATTTGCATCCAAAAACACTGAGGTTTGATGTGTGATCTCCAAAGAAACGAAGCTGGCGATATCTCTCCCCACAGCGGTAACAGAAGTTAGTGTTGCATTGTGAGCAAGTCATATGATCACAGCCTTCTGTTCTCTGAATATGAATCTTTAAAAGTAAAACAGGTGGGAGGGAAGGATAAAAATAATTGCTTTAAAAAAAGAAAGATTCCACCCAACATTAATTACGTCAATGGTTTTATGACAAATCATCCAACAAATTCTGAAGAAAGCTACTGTTGTATTAATAGGAGAAGCTAAAAGGCTGCTGCAATTAAGGTTTTTAAAATACTGCTGAAAGCCACAAAAATTCATAAACTTAAGAGACTGGTTATTTGCTCTACAACAATGACACAACTATAAGTTAAATCTAAGAAAAAACAAAATGCTGCAAAGTTAAGACATTCAAGAAAATTGACAAGACTTTTCAGCAATTCCCAAGCATTCAAAGCCTCTCATTCCCAGCCAAGGAAGAAAGTTATTATCCCATAGACCACCACCAAACAGTTGCTAGAGAAACTTTCTGCCTAAATCTTTGGATCAAGTCATAGGTTTACATTTATACAGTGCCATTGGTATGTTTTGGAAGGTAATTAACAATATGAGTCTATGCCCAGATATACAGTACATAAACATCAACAAAGACTCTATGATGCACACAACTGATTTTAGAATGGTTGAAATTTTGGATATTAAAATAATTAAATATATTTAATACACATATACATATATGTCCCCCGCAAAATCAATGAAAACTTGGTTCTATTTTTTTTCTTATTAATTGATTGTATTTCTAGTTTGTTAATGTTTGATTATTGAGCAAATCTATTTAGCTGTTTATCTATTATTTGGTCTGTTGTCCCAACTGGAAACTTGAGTAGCTCACAATAATAAAACAGAAAACAAATGGGCTAATTAGATTCAAAAAAATAAAATATATAAAGTCATAATTAATTATTTTAATCATTTTAAATCAACAAAGCATAATCACTTAGTTTATACAAAAAGTCATAAAGAATTTCTTAAAGTGCCAATGTTATTTCTACCTTTTAGAAGCAAATCAAGATTCTAGGTATTTTATTTTTTTATTTTAAAATATTTCCTATCAGTACAGCAAAAATATTTTAAATTATGCCGAAAGTTAGCAAAGCAGTATTTTTGCACAATGTATTAAAAATTTAAACTACTAAAGCACATGACTTAATCAGGAATTAAAAATAAAATAATTCAACTGTTAAAATCCATCTCCTTAAAATTGTAGTATCTTCAAAGAATTTTTAAATTGCACTTGAAAGTTATGATCAAATTGATACAACTTCTGGTAAACTATTTATTTTGATCAAAAGCCTTTGAGGAAATTTGGTAAATAGCATGTGATAATTAATTCTAGTGCCACTTTATTGTGAATTTCCCCTTCCAGATAACAAAAATAAATTCAATATCTTTTGTTAGCTACCATATTTACTGTAGCAAATCACTGGAAAGCTAAGGTACTTCCTTTTTATGTAGCAGTATTTAAAACTTTGAGAAATGGTATCACAGTCCTGAATAACCCTTTATTTGAATTATGTACTGTACTCAATTTCATAAGTTACAATTTTAAAACAGTAACCTTACCTTGACATTAAAAATAAAAATTGCAGACTAAATACAAATTGCTAACTAACCTAAGGAAGTAATCATTTGATATAATTTATAGCTTCTTCTGCAGTAACCCAATAGATTAATTTAGTTATAATAAACACTAGAAATGCACTAGGAAAACAATGCTGAAAATTTGAAATGTCATGTTCAAATCAGGACAAAGTGTTTCCAAAATGTATTCCACTTTGATTTTATATAATGAATATGCAGTTTGTAAAAACAAGCAGAACCAGTTGGTGGAAACATGCTGCATATTATCACCATTAGAACATAAAGCACAAGTTTGCTCAATAAAAATTCTTGTGTGTAGAAAGTTCATTTTCACTGAGTTTCAAATGAAGAAACTTGAGATACATTTTATACCTGCAGACAGATTTTGAGTTCTGTATTTGTAAATGAATGAAATAATAGCTGTTTAGCATACAGGCTGCATTATCAGAATGTTTTATTTTCAGACTAGTATTTAATGACAGTATTTTTCTATTTACTGCCTAAAAGCTATTTATGCACTTTGTTGCAAACATCTTGCATTAATTTTACTTAAATTAATGCAAGAGTCTCACTGTTTCATTAACTTTTGGACAGCTCCTGAAAAATAAATTTGCATGCTCCAACTTTTCAATATATCTTACTTATTTAAGAGTCACAGTGGTGCACTGGTTAGAATGTAGTACTGCAGGATATTTCTGCTGACTACTGGCTGCTTGAAATTTGGCAATTTCAATCTCATCAGGCTCAAGGTTGACTCAGCCTTCCATGGGAAAGAAAGCAACCATCAAACAGTGGTTTCCTCAAAATTTGGGGGGTTAAAATTTTGCAAGATTTGTTCATTTTTTTTCAAGATGTTGAGTAATAAAAGGAAGCTCCAAATTGGTAAAGTCATGGGATGATGTTCATTCCTGAAAATATCATTGACACTTCATGTACAGTACGAAAACTAAATTACACTGTAATTCACCTGTTAAAAGCAAATTTTTTTTAAAAAAAAGAATGCTGTCATGAAAAAAATTATGCAAAAGTGTTAAATGATTTTAATTAAAAAACATTTTCACATAACACTATTGCACTGGTCTTTAAGAAACATGGGACCAACCTTGGCAATTCAGTTCAGCTTTCATAATAACTAACATTGATATTTTTTTAAAAAACACAGTGTTTTTCAATATTGCTAAATATAGATTTCATCAAAGAAGTTCAGTTGAAATTTCTTTCTCCAACTTCCAATCAGTATTATCTTGAAACAGAGAAATATTTTATCAAATATTATTACCCAGAATAGTGTATCCTCAGAACTTACCATTTAAATGTATCTTAGATTATTCTAAAAAAAAACTTTGGGAAATGAAGGAAGGGAAGGGTTATTTGGTTTCTTTTCCTGAGAAACAGAATGTTCACAGTTCTAAAAGGCATTGGTTCAATAAAAAAGGGTGATAAGAACTGTAATGTCAACAGATGAAAGGGATTGGTTTTCTCAGTTTGTTTCCTAGTAGGTGTTAGTTCTACTAATTGACTTTGCCCAGGCACCTCAAAGGGTACTGCAAGAACATGCACTGTCTTCTTACCTTGCATTTTGGACATTTTTGAGCATTTCTTTGCCCATGTTCAATTTCACTGGCCCAGTGACGTAGCAGTTTGTCTCCCTTTTTGAACTCTTTGCAGTTGACACCTTCGTGCCAAGGAGAGTGGCACTTAAAACACCACACAAATTGGCAGGTTGGACACTGGATCTGTTTAAGTAAAGAGCATAAAGCAATAAACATCTAAACAAATGGCCATTGAATGAGGCTGGGAAAGCATAACTCAGCTCCCCCTTGCACAAAAATGACAAGGAGGAAGATGGTGAAGGCATGTATCAGAAAAACCACCTAATACAGGTAGACCTGAACTAATGACCACAATTGAGCTCAAAATTTTTGTTGTTAAGTGAGCTTTGCCCCATTTTACAACCTTTTTTTGCCATGGTTATTAAATGAATCACTGCAGTTAATAACTTAATAACCCAGTTGTTAAATGAATCTGGCTTCCCCATAGACTTTGCTTATGAGAAGGTAACAAAAGAGGATGACATGACCTTGGGACACAGCAATGGTGATAAATATGAACCACCTGCCAGGCATCTGAATTTTGATCACATGGCCAAGGGGATGCTGCACAGGTCATAACTGTGAAAAACAGTCATGAGGTACATTTTTCAGTGCTATTGTAACCTTGAATAGTCAATAAATTAACTGCTGTAAGTCAAGGACTACCTATAATACTGCAACTTCTCATTTACTCACACATTAAGATGAAGCTCTTAAGAAGCCTTACCGATTAAAGAAAAAGACATTTCATAAGGAATTAACTTTGTCGACAGCTTAAACCAATAAAATTCTCTTGAAATCAGAGTGTGGTCACTGGAAGCTGATTTATATAATTTATCTTCCTACCACACACTAATTCCAACTACTGTCGTACAAAACCTATTCTTATCACCAATATCAGTGCTCTAACCAAACTTGGAAGACAAAAAATAAAATATCTGTTTATTATTACTAGCCGATGGTGTTCAACAAATGTTACAACAAATCTTAAACAGTAAGAAGAATGCACTTGTTCATTGGCTGATAGACATCTGGGAATTTTGTTCAGGCTTTATATCATATGTAAATCTTCCTCAAAACATATTATCATTATGAAAACATAATAGTATTAAATACTATTCTTACAATATTTTGGTGGTAATCTTTAAAGAATACAGGAATCTGAGTTTTCAATAAGCACTATGGACCAAATACAATTACAAAGTAATCTTTGTATGTGTATGTTTACTTTTCCTCTAAGGGAAGCAAATCTCATAAAATGAATAATAGAGACCGTCTGTTGAATGCTTTAGGTGTTTTGCTCCTAAAATAGGCAAACACATTCAGTCTTGCCTCTATTTCTCACCTGTTTTATGCCTTTATTTATTTATGTGCTGCCATCTTGTCCAGTGACGACTCTCCAACAGGTTTTAACTTTCATAAAAATTCAGAAAGTCAGCTCTGTTACATTGTATTGTAACATGCAAATAAAAAACTGGTGTCATATGTTTATCTTTCCTACCAAGATAATAAATTTATTTTCATATCGGAAGACATTTTAATAGAACCCTATAGCTATTTGTTTGCAACAACCTGAATATGATAAGGATTGTGGACTTATTGCAATGGAACAAGTGTCTTGGTAAGATTCCATTAAGATTTCAGCAAGCATCCTATTATGACCTCTGATCAAAGCCAGTTCTCTTGCATGAGGTTTTGTATTCATAGGAATTTATACAGCTCTATATAGGCTTTAAAAATATTACATAGCAAAGCTGTTAGCAAAATATTAATGAAGCAGAGGTCAAGTTCATTATGTCTTGCTGGTCAAGATACAGATCTATTTTAATTTTTGAAACATATTTTAATGTATAATAGATGAGTGCTATGTGGCCCAGTCCTATTACTGCTTGAAATAATAGGCAAACTGTATGACACACAAATAACCTCATAACTACAGTTCTTTTGTTCTAGTTCCTTTCCATAGCTATTGATGATGTCAGAATTGCGAGTTATATTTCTTTGAGTTTATGTTGCCTTTCATTCAGGAGTTCAAGGAGGCATAGAAAAATCCCTATTTTCCTCTTACATAAATGAACCCCAGTGAAATGTTGTTTAAATTGTAACAGCATTGGGTTTTCCATGTGCAAGACCCTCCCAGCCACCAAAGCTCACTGGAACAGTTGCTATCTCTTAGCCCAATAATCCCAGATTTGAAAGAAAAAGAAAAATGGAATGCTTTCTGTGTTGACATGAATTTCTAGAGAAAAGACACAATAAATCAAATGAATGTTCTTCCTGGTAACATATATATGAGCAAATACACTATTCCTATATCATATTTTCAACAGAATATGTTATACAGTAGTTTTAAAAATTCGTAATATTGTTTGAATCAAGTCATGACATTTTCTTTTGCACTAATCAATAATGGAAATGCTTTGATTAGGCCTCTTCTTAGAAATTAGGTAACCAACTGGGTAATTATCCTTTCAACCTTGTCTTCTGCTTTTCCAAAATGCAATATTCTTTCCTTGGTGGGAGCTGTTCAGCTGTACTCTGCTTAACATTCAGCAACTTAAAAAAAGCAGCTGACCTTTGAAATATTAATAATCATATGTAAACATGACCTAGTTGAGCAAGTTGTGCTCTTAATGTTCAACCAAAACCTAGTTTTGCAACAGAGATATTTGGTCACTTGAACAATATGAGATAAATTTTAATATCAAATTAAACTTAGACATAAGCTGCTTGTAGAGCTATACCTGATAGTTCTTTATTATCATTAAACTGGCCAAGTATTTTTTAATGAATTGACAATGTGCATTTGCATAGAAAAAGTGCAAAATTTATAACCAATAAAACATTAAAGTAAAAGGAAATAACACTTACAGATTTATACTGCAAGCTTAACGTGTACTATATACTACAAAGTATTTTCTTTTTGGCTGTGTAGGAAACAGCTGGTATAATCTTACAAGATCAGCCACTGCAGAAATCTCCTCTATATGCAAAGAATGGTAAAACGTTTCAAAGAAAAATAGTAAATGGCTGTTATTTTTGATGTCAGCAAAACTGAATCCTTAAAAATCTTTCTGCAGAAGAAAAGCAAATCATATATATCAGTATAAAATAGAGATGTTTAAATCTGTGCAAACATTTATATTTTATATTGATATATATGATTCGCTTTTCTTCTGCAGAGATTTTTTAAGGATTCAGTTTTGCTGACATCAAAAATAAAAGCCATTTACTATCTTTCATTTCAACTGAAGGTTTAAGTTAGGTGTAGATACTGTGCCTTAGCATATGAAAGACCACTATTCAAAGTACCAAGTATCAACATCTTCTGGAAGACTCAGCAAAGATGTCGTAAGTTCTATTCCAGATTGTTTCAGTAGGTGTCTGCGAGCCAAGCAACTTTGCTAGTATACTCTATGGAACAGATGCCTATGCATGCACACACACACACAGCCTGGGAAAACCACTGAATCAAACACTTGATCCTTTATAAGGCTACAAATACTTTATAGTGCTATATAGAGTGCTTTATAAAGTGTATAGAGTGTTTGTACAACCTTACAGTTTATCTAATAGGATACAAAATCTAACTCAAAATATAACTTCTTGAATTGCTTATACCTTACAAAACTGACCAATGAAATCTTCATTGTATGTGTATTATATTATAATGTGTTCCTTCTCTACATCCTTACTACTGCTATCCATGTATTCCATGTCATACTCAATAAACCTAAGATTTAGCTTGGCTCCTCCAGATGATTTAGATTTAATTTTCCTCAACTCAATCAGCACAGTTAGTGATTAGGGAAACAAGTCTTGCAATATACAATATCCAGAGGGCACCAGATTGCCTATCCCCAAGGTTTTATGTGTGAAGACTTTCTTTTCCAACTGTGTTTCACATTGCTTTTTAACCTAGTATATCTGACAGGGTTGATGTTGTGTGTAAAAATGGGGGGAGAGGATGCTATATATGCTGACATGAGGACTGCACAGAAATCTACAAATTGCAATTCAAGCATACACCCAAACTCTCTGTAAATTTCAAGCCTTATTTTAGGAAAACAAGATACATCCACCCTAATGTCATACTGCCCAATTTTTTACACTGGATGTCGTTCACGAACAACTGACATGCAAATTTAATTTTGATTTTCTTAAAATATAATGGATTTCCAAAGGATAATTCCACAAAATAGTTCAGGTATCATGAGCTGAATAAATTATGGTCCAAAGCTCACAAGCATTTGTAGATTTTCTTAAATCAGAGTTGGTCATTATGTCCATAGTAACAAGTTACATATTTGCAAAGCATAGCAACTATTAGGAAGTTGGGGGGGGGGGAAGCCTTTAAAGCAGCATTACTCAATGTGCTTGCCATATTGTCTAGACAGCAACAGAATAGAGAAGATTAGTTTAAGAAATGAAGGCAAGGGATGAGTAAGGATACAAGTCAATAACACATTCCTTTGAATCTGCTTTGTAATCCTTTCAATGCGATTTAAGAAAAACATAATTCAAGAGAGAATGTAGAATATAAAGTACATTAGTCCTAAAACAAAAATTAAGAATACAAAAAAGATACATTCATTAAATGCCCTGTATTATAAAAATATTTTCAAAAACTGCTTTTCCCAAGAACACTGAGCTTTTATCTAATTAATTGCTAGTTTTATATTATCAATATGATGAAATACTAAGATTATAAAATACAACCTAATAAATATATTAAAATGTAAACATTACGGTTGTACAGAGGTTCCAATTCAGTTCCAAAAAAATCCTTTTAGCGAATATGAGAACATTGTCTGAAACTTTTTAAAGCAGAGGCATCTTTTCCAAGGATCATGTGAATGTCCTGCTATATATTTCTGTAAATAGATTCAGTTGCTTTAAAAAGGGCTACATTTGTATTCCTGTACCATTTGAAAAACATTTTTGGAATATAAGGAATTATTTCCAGGTGATTTATATAACATTATTCATGTCTAAGTGTGTACCTATCAATAATAGTTAGTGAGAAGGCACTGGAACATTTAACTCTACTTAAACTGACATTGATAATCTCAATTTTGGTCAACCAACAAAAAAGTGGTGTTATGTAGAAGAAATCTTGATCACTTAATTTTTGATGGGGCTTCTACAAAGATCTATGTTGAAAAACAAGCTAGCAAAACGTCCTACATACCATCTGAGCATTTAAAAAAAAGAACCTTAAATATCAGTTAGTACTTACTGTATCCTTCTGGGAATGAATTATCTTCAACTGAATATTCTAAAATCAATGAGCATACCAATGTGTTTGAACCATGAGTTAATAATATATCAGAACCACATTAAATATTACAAGAAGAAAATTTGTTTACATTTCTCTACCACTCTCTAATTTGTAGTCCTGATCCTGTCGATCACTGAACCACTGATCCCAAATTTTGTTTTTACTATTATATAGTCTTTTAAATTACTCTAGCATTATTAAAAATAAAAGTCTAAGACAAAACTCTATGCTTATATTACTGATAATTCTTTTTATGTATGTACAATGTTATAATCTGGAATTCTGCACATGCAGTATCTTACCATGTATATTTTAGTATGTATTTTTCCAAAAATATTCTGCACATATAACAACCTATCTATTATTGCCCCATTATACTAAGCTTATATATCTGCATTCTTGTAGGTAAAATCTATTAAATACCTTATGGAATTTCATACCAAAGTGGCATGAAAAAATCAGAATAATCCCAAGAGGTAAAGTCCACCATGTACTTTGCGATGGTCAATTTCAGTGCAGTACCAAATCAAAAAAGTAAAGCTGGAAACTTTGTAAAATTCAGCTAGGTACTCATATAGTACAATACTTAAAATAAACATTGCAAAGACCACCAAATACTTCAGAGTGTAAAAACTGCCAAACTTCATAAAATATTGCAGGCCAGATGGCCATTTCCAAAAGTAGACAAAAAGACATAACAAACATAAGGATAAACATGGCATCTGACTAGTTAGTCCAGATAGATTAATTGTTGACTAATACTGGGTATGAAGCTACATATTTGTAGTCTAAAAACACAGCTTACATGAGATTCCAGTAAGAGAAGAAATCCCATTTAAATGCCCACCATATCCTGGCCTAATTTTGCTGCTCACACTCTGCCATTTAATCCATAACTTGTGTGAGCATGCTCACTTTGTACTTGTTCTCCATTCTGGTAGGGTTCGGAATATGACCTTTCCTCTTGAAGGTTGTAAAGTGCTTGCATTGAGGGCATGGCTTGGTGCCTGAGCCGATACGGCCAAGTTCCAGGAAGTATTTATATTTGATGATGTCATCATGTGGCAAGTTGAAGAGGATGGTGGTTTCATCCAGATGTTCATTGCACTCTGTAATCGGACATGGGATATCTGCTTGCCCCACCTGCACCTGCATATAAACAGAAGAACATGTTGATAAGGTAATGTGTCACAAAAGTAACCTCATAGAACTAAATTCATCTTTTAAGTGGATAGCTAGTCCTAGTCCTCACTTAATACTGTCCTTGTTCAGTCACCATTCAAAGTTCTGATGGGGTTGAAAACGTAATTTTATGACTAACCTTCACACTTATGACCATCATAGCATTCCCACAGTCATGTGATAGAGGACAGGTGTCAAACTCGATCGCATCATATGACATATTGCAATGCATCGTGACATTTTTTTGCCTTGGCAAAGCCAGGGTGGGCATGACCTGTGAGTAACGCATCTGGCCAGTGGCCCACCAGTTTGACACCCCTGTGATAGAAGTTTGGGTGCTTCACAACCATCAGGCATTTATGACCTTCACCATATCCTGCAATTACATGATCACCATTTGTGTGCTTCAAAGATAGCTTCCAACAAGCAAAGTCAACGGAGAAGCTAGCAAAAAAGTTTTAAGTTGGGTGCACAAGGTATCTTATTTATTGCATTGCTTAATGATGAAGCTGACAATCCCAATTGTGGTTATTAAATGAGGACTACCTGGTATAAGGCAATGGGGTTTAATTTAGAATCAATTTTATTGCATGTAAATACTATATTCATAAAATGAAAGGAAAAAAAAACAGAATCTATTAATATCATTATGGAATATTCTAATATAAGAATTAGAAGCTGTGGTCTCATAGAGTCCAGAAGTTGCTTGGCTCAACAAAACAACCAATGCTCAGAGATTGTGGGGAGGCTTAATTTGTTAACATTTAAGGACAACCTCTGCCCCCAACTTTGGGTAGACAATTTTAAAAAAAAACTCTGCCTAAAACATAAATTCAAATTCAAAATGAAAAATAAAGTTTTTAAATCTCTCATGTTTGCACAACTTAAATTTAAAAAAAAAAACCCTCAAGAATTATCAGCAATGCGGGCAAATTAATCTCTACTATGTAACAGTGAAAGCTAGATCTATCAAGTATATCTACATCCAGTGAAACAATGTAACAAAATTAGAAACGTGTATATAAAAGCCAAGAAAAGCCACAACAGACAATCGTGATAGAGGCTTAATCCAGGGCCTCAGGCTTGGTAACAAAAACCTTTCTTCAAGATCTTACAAAAAGGCCACCAAAGTCAGGGCAAGTCTCTAGGGCAATGATGTTTCAAATGGTAGGCACCAGATCATAAACAGATCTCTACCTGGGTCCCTATGATGGGATGTGGATATGACTTTGTGTGGTGGGGACGAAGAGAGAGCTCCTAGCTGCATAAAGGACAAAGAAAGAAACTCCGAAAGAATTTAATCAGTTTGTAAAAAGAGGGTGAGAGATTTGAACTTTCGACTTAGAAGATTTTAAAAATGTAAAATAAAACAGAATTAGCTCATTATGTTTCCTGTCCAGTCTACCTAGAAAGGCTGACCAGTCCCACTAGATGACAGCACTTGATGGAATCGGACCATACCTCTCTTACTGGATGTTTAAAAAACAGGTTGAGGAGTCTCACAAGCCTTAAAATGCTTATTTTAGGATTTATTCTATTATGAGTATTTATGCTTCAACTACCATATGTTATTTTGACCCAATTAAAATAAATGGGAAGAGATAAATGAAAAAAGTAGAAAAACAGAGGGTATCAAATCAATTTGTAAGAAAAAAAAGCATTTGATTTCAATTAATTCCATATTTGTATTCCTCCTTTGTCTCTCACACACAAATACTTTCAGCTAAGGCAGACAATAACTTAAAATAATTATAAAAAGAATAAATTGGAAATAATTGGAAAAAAATCTGGAGAGTTTTAGAAAAATATTCTCAAATATTACCAGTATATGTATGTTAAATAATCTATATATATTTTACCTTATTCAATTGGTGTTTTATTACTCTAATCTAAATAAATGAATTATTTTTTATATAAATGAATGAAGCATTCATATATTGTAATACAAATATTTATATTTCAATTACCATATATGAGCATTTCATTTTGACCAGATAAAAATAAATGGCAAAAGAGATAAATCTTACTCAACCTATCAACCTATTAATCATAGGCAATATTTCTTTATTTTGAGCCCAAGTCAGGCCAGGCGTAGGAGAAATTAGCATCATTACAAAGAAAAGAAGGTAAGATTGTACAGGACTCTATCTCCTTTAAATCTTAACTTCAAAAAATCTAGTTATGAAACTTTTAAAATAATTACTTGTAAGTTTAAAAAAAATGCATTGTGAGTTCAGTATGAAACAATGATACAAAGACTGCGCCACTACAATATTGTATCCAACTATTTAGCTGTAAAATGTGGTTAATGATTAGGTTTGCAATATTATAAAACAATAGCAATAGCATTTATAGACTTATACAGGTAGTCCTCAACTTACAACAGTCCATTTAATGACCGTTCAAAGTTACATCACTGAAAAAAGTGATTTATGATAATTTTTCACACTTACAACCTTTGTAGCATCCCTATGATCATGTGATCAAAATTCATATGCTTGGCAACTGGTTCATACTTAAGAATGTTCCTGTGTCCCAAGGTCATGTGATCATCATTTGCACTCTTTTGACAAACAAAATCAATGGGGAAGACAGATTCACTTAACAACTATGTTACTAACTTATCAACTGCAATGATTCACTGAACAACTGTGGCAGGACAGGTCGTAAAATGGGGCAAAAATCACTTAACGAAAGTTTTTACTAACAACAGAAATTTTGGACTCAATTGTGGTTGTAAGTCAAGGACTACCTGTTTACCACTTCACAGTGCTTTACAGCCCTCTCTAAGCAGTTTACAGAGTCAGCATGGGTCCTCATTTTACCATCCTCGAAAGGATCTGGGTCCTCATTTACCATCCTCGGAAGGATGGAAGGCTGAGTCAAACTTGAGCCTCTCAGAATCAAACTCCTGGAGCGAGAAGTGAGTTAGCCTGCAGTGCTGCATTCTAAGCATGGCTCAATGTATAAAGTATATGCATCACACTAGCAAGAACTTGTTTTAAATTGGCCTGGTTTCTTCCTAATTTAAAATTGTTGATTTAAATCAGCATGAGTCCACCAAAGCTTTAGGTGCAGCACCCAGAGACTTCAAATATCCACTATCAAAATATAATGTGACAACAGCACAAAATAATTATGGGAAGTAATTAGGTTGATAACGTTATAGGTCTTTGCAATAATTAGGGTCGGTTCAAAAGACAATTCGCATGCATGGAAATACAGCAACTGCCTGCATATCATTAAAGTGGATGTGCTGATTTTCCAGGTCTGCCATTTTCTGGGAGGCAGAGTCAGATATTTTTTTTTCTTGTTTTCCTCCCCAAAAGCTAGGTACGTCTTATGGCCTGGAGCGTCTTACAGTGCAAAAAATATGGTAAATGTCCAAACTATTCAAGCATGCAATTTTAATACAAAAATAAATTATTTGAAGACCAAAGTAAGGTTCAAAACTACCAAATGTATTATATGAAATAATACCATATGGAAACTTTACTTACATACTGTTTTAAGTACCTTAAAGTATACTGATATTTCAGAAGCAAAAACTATTTTAAAAAATCTTTAAAAACAGGAATCATGAGCAAATTGAGTGAGACACTAATAAGAGATTAGTTTCACACATCCCCATCTATCCACTATTGTCTATATAAAGCTGAGTTTAGAGAAAACTAACTATATATTATTTAAAAGCAAGTATCCTGCTAAACACTTGCAATAAAGTATCTGCCCTGTAATATTTAGACCACTATGTATTATGTCAGCATACCAAAATGTGTTGAAAAGTCACAATATTTAGATACATTCATTTAACATCTGGGTTACAGAGCTCTTTGGGGCTGAGGATCATACTAATTTTGGAATGGGGTCATGGGATCAAAAACCAAAAATAGGCTGAAGATAAAAATGTTATTTAATTTCGAATTAGAATTAAATATAGATTTAATTTAATATTAGTATTGGGATATTCCTGATGCATTTTATAGTTCTCATTTTTAAAATCACATTTTAAAAATGCAGTTTGGCAACAATTTTTGGAAGGGCTTTAGGGGCCACACCCAACCTTTGGGACCCATATAGCGCCCTAGAGATGTCATAATGTACATTTTTGCTTCACATTATAGCATTTAGAGAGGAATGTATCAGGTTCCACAGCTAGAATTGCCAGATAATCAGTCAAACAGGAGTGATAATAGCACTAATACTTCATATACAATTTAATATTAATGCAGTAATCTCTACAGGTGTGGTAACAGTAAATTACTTGTCAGTCACTACACACACACACACACACAGAGACACTCACATGTACGCACATATGCACACATACACCATAAGCCAGACAAGAAACACAGCTAGATGTAGTAATTCTACTTTATTGTGAGGCTACATTGATAGAATCTTCCAAGTACACCACTTTTAACCATTTGAACAATTAGGGTGGGTCCTTCCTAATGTTCTATTGGGGAGGGAGTTCCTGCATCTCTTGTCTGATCATTTCCTAGACAGCATCTCTTCCCCATTTTTCCCCAAGGTCATCTACACATTCCATTACTGCTACAGAAATCAATGAGTATGTAGATCCATTAAAGCAGCAGTCATCAATAAAGCATGCTTTATTCTGCTGGAGTTGCAATTCCCACATAACATGGCAACCCCAACACAATTGTAAGGTGATAGCTTGGGGAAGGTTGCAATAGTATCAGCTGTATTTAAAATTCGAGTGCAAGGTAAATTAATTCAATGATCAGAATATAAATTAGTGGTAAGAGACAGTGAGTCACCACTGTCTGAATGTTCCCCTTGCTAGGATTCCCTCGTGTCTAGTTTATCAAGAAGCAAAACATCCTTTCAGTTAAAATAGTTCTTGCAGATGCAACTGGCAACAAAATTTCTTTCTGCTGTAACTATTTTATTATTTTCTCCTTAGAAATTTTGTTTCCATGGAATGTGTCTAAATCCAAAAT